AACTTCGTTTAGTACAGCTCTAAGCACTTTGGATGAATAGTCAAGACATTCGGGTGCTCTCATTTCACTTGGGAAATGCAAGCACCTGCCTGTCTGCAGAAAACATAGTTGTAATCAATTAAATATTAAATATAGCAATCACACTATAACTAATGTGAATTCTATGAAAATTCTAGGTGTTATCTTTGATAATAAACATAGTTTTTAGCATCATTGTGTTAAATTAAGAAGGGAACTAGCACCCAGATTGAATATTGTAAAATATTTATCATCAAAAAAAAGTTTTATACACACGAACACGCTACTTAATATAACTAAATTAATTATACAATCTAAAATTGACTACGGTCTGCAAATATATGGAAAATGTAGTAAATCTATCATTAATAACATCAAAGCACCATTTCACGCTGCGGTACGGAGAAGTTTACGTGCCTTTAGGACAACACCTATTAAAAATATGCTTGTGGAAAGTGGTTTTCAAACACTCGAAGAACGCACGGAGTACCTCAGAAGTCGGATAATTCACAAAATATTCTGCGACTCTACACATATACTTCACCATGATATCCAACTACTGAATAAAAGAAGAAGACCACTTTCACATAAATCGGCGTTATGCGAGGTAAAAGCCCTCGCCGACCATTTAAACCTTAAGATAACTCCAATGAGAATACCTCAAACAAAGCTTCCACCCTGGGCTCTAAATACAGTTTTTTACGGAAACAGTGCACCAACAGCACAATATATCAGCAAACTTTCTGGAGCACAGTAAACCCTCTGAAACGAAGTGGTTGGAATCTCCTTTTCACAGATGGCACCAAGCAAGCCAACGGCATTGCATTTGCTGTTACAAACGAAGCTGGGCAAACCCTTTCTCACGGACTTTTACCGCAGCACGCCAACATCTTCGAAGCTGAATTACAGGGCATAATTTCTGCATTAAATCTTGTGAAAAGTAAGCAAAAGGTTCTAATATGCACCGATAGCCAATCAGCATTCAATGCTGCAAAAAACATTCGAATGGATGTAGGTCCAATATATCACTTACAACAATTATTAATTAAATCAGCACCAAACACGAAACTGATGTGGGTACCTGGACATTCTGGTATACTCGGAAATCAACATGCTGACAAGGCCGCAAATCTTGCTTTAAAATCGTGCCTACACTTTTACAATCCGTTTGGTACAACATCAATTAAGGACATCTACTCTAGCGCTTTAAAGTCACACCTGGGCACCATTTGGAATCTCTACCAACATGAATACAAAGAAGTAAACCCCCACGGTACCGCTATAAGACTGCCAACCGCGACTACTACTTGGATGAACCGATGTTTTCTACGTTTAAGGCTGGGACATACCCTTTTAACGCACCAACACCATTTGACAAGGAGTCCGCAGCCCATCTGCAACTTCTGCAATGCCAACCGCTTAACCACACGTCACATCCTACTACATTGTCCATCTATCTCCGCTATACGTACGGCAACTTTTGAAGACGCAGACCCAATCAATATTCTCTCCATCCCTTCTTCTTCTTCTTATTTGGCGCTGTAACCGCCTAAGCGATTTTGGCCGAGTCCAAAACAGCACGCCAGTCATTTCTCTTCTGTGCTAACTGACGCCAATTGAAAATGCCAAGTGAAGCCAAGTCCTTCTCCACCTGGTCTTTCCAACGCAGAGGAGGCCTTCCTCTTCCTCTGTTCCCAGCATCGCGGCCCGCGTTGAATATTTTCAGAGCAGGAGCGTTTCTGTCCATCCGAACGACATGGCCAAGCCAGCGGAGCCGCTGAATTTTAATTCGCTGCACTATGTCTATATCGTTGTAAAGCTCATACAGCTCATCGTTAAATCGTCTGCGATATTCGCCATCACCAACGCGTAAAGGTCCGTAAATCTTTCGCAGAATCTTTCTCTCGAAAACTCCAAGAGCCGCCTCATCAGATGCTTTCATTGTCCATGCTTCCGCGCCATACACCAGCACAGGCATGATGAGTGACTTATAGAGTGTGATCTTTGTACGACGAGAGAGGACTTTACTTCTCAATTGCCTACTCAGCCCAAAGTAGCACTTGTTGGCAAGAGTGATTCTTCGTTGGATTTCAAGGCTGACATTATTATTGGTGTTAATGCTGGTTCCCAAATAAACGAAGTCGTCTACTTTTTCAAACTTGTAACTGTCAACAGTGACGTGGGTGCCAAGACGCGTATGCTCTGACTGTTTGTGTGCTGACAGGAGATACTTCGTTTTGTCCTCGTTCACCACCAGACCCATTCGCTTTGCTTCTCTATCCAATCCCGAGAAGGCAGAACAGACGTAGCCCTTGTTTTTACCGATAATATCGATGTCGTCGGCATACGCCAGCAATTGTACGCTCTTATAAAGTATTGTGCCTGAGCGGTTCAGTTCTGCGGCTCTTATTATCTTCTCCAACATAAGATTAAAGAAATCACACGAAAGGGGGTCCCCTTGTCTGAAACCTCGTTTGGTATCAAACGGCTCGGAGAGGTCCTTCCCTATTCTGACGGAGCTGGTGGTATTGCTCAACGTCATTTTACACAGCCGTATTAGTTTCGCGGGGATACCAAATTCAGATATCGCGGCATAAAGGCAGTTCTTCTCGTGCTGCCGAAAGCGGCTTTGAAATCGACAAATAGATGGTGTGTGTCGATCCTATTCTCGCGGGTCTTTTCCAAGATTTGGCGTATTGTGAATACCTGATCTATGGTGGATTTTCCAGGCCTAAAGCCACACTGATAAGGTCCAATCAGCTCGTTGACGGTGGGCTTCAGTCTTTCGCACAATACGCTCGATAAGACCTTGTAACCTATGCTTAGAAGGCTAATTCCGCGGTAGTTGGCGCGTATGGCGGGGTCGCCTTTCTTGTGGATTGGGCAGAGCACACTTAAATTCCAGTCGTCGGGCATGCGTTCATCTGACCATATTCTGCATACGAGCTGATGCATGCACCTCATCAGCTCCTCGCCGCCGTACTTGAATAGCTCGGCTGGCAGGCCGTCAGCTCCAGCAGCTTTGTTGTTTTTCAGCCGCGTAATCGCTATTCGTACCTCGTCATAGTCAGGCGGTGGGACAGCTACTCCATCATCATCGACTGGGGACTCGGGTTCGTCTTCCTCACTACTTTCAGCGCTGCTACCATTCAGTAGGTTATAAAAGTGTTCCCTCCATAATTTAAGTATATTCTGGACATCGGTCACTAGGTCGCCATTGTTGTTCTTACAGGAGTTCGCCCCGGTCTTGAAACCTTCCGTAAGTCGCCTAACCCTCTGGTAGAATTTTCGGGCGTTCTTCCTGTCGGCCAGCATCTCAAGCTCTTCGCACTCACGTATTTCGGCCTCTCTCTTCTTATTACGGCAAATACGTCTCGCTTCCTTCTTCAGTTCCCTATAACGGTCCCACATGGCTCGCGTTGCGCCCGATCGCAGCGTGGCCCTGTAGGCGGCATCTTTTTTCTCTGCGGCTTCTTGACATTCCTCATCGTACCAGTTGTTCTTTCGGGCTCGCTGAAATCCAACTACTTCTTCGGCGGCGGTACTTAATGATCGGGAAATGTGGTTCCACTGCTCGCGTACGTCGGATTGTTGAAGAGTGCTCTCAGAGAGCAGGTGTGTGAGTCGAGTGGCGAATAAATTGGCCGTCTGTTGTGATTGCAGCTTTTCGACGTTAAGCTTTCCTTGCATTGTTGGGCGCACATTTTTTGCTGCACAGAGGCGGGTGCGTATCTTGGCTACAACAAGATAGTGGTCCGAGTCGATGTTTGGCCCTCGGAGTGTACGTACGTCCAAAACGCTTGAAGCATGCCTTCCGTCTATCACAACATGATCGATTTGGTTTCTCGTTTTTCGATCTGGAGACAGCCATGTAGCTTGGTGGATGTTCTTATGCTGGAACCTAGTACTACATATTACCATATTTCGGGCCCCGGCGAAGTCGATCAGCCTCAGTCCGTTATCGGACGTTTCGTCGTGGAGGCTGAATTTTCCGACAGTGGCGCCAAAGATCCCTTCCTTGCCCACCTTGGCATTAAAATCGCCAAGCACGATTTTGACATCGTGTCGGGGGCAGCGCTCATATGTACGTTCCAAGCGCTCATAGAAGAGATCCTTGGACGCTTCATCCTTCTCTTCCGTCGGGGCATGGGCGCAGATGAGCGAGATGTTGAAGAATCTAGCTTTGATGCGGATTGTGGCTAGACGATCGTCCACCGGGGTGAACGCCAGTACTCGGCGACGGAGTCTCTCTCCTACCACGAATCCAACACCGAATTTGCGCTCCTTTACGTGGCAACTGTAGTAGACGTCGCAAGGCTTCACGCTTACTTTACCTTGCCCCGTCCATCGCATTTCTTGGATGGCGGTGATGTCAGCCTTTGTCTTCCCGAGGACATCAACCAGCCGGGCAGAGGCACCTTCCCCATTAAGGGTCCGGATATTCCAGGTGCATACCCTTAAATCATAGTCCTTTATACGTTTGCCGTGGTCGTCATCAGAAAAAGGGGGTCTCATCCGAGGCTTGTTGGAATTTTTCATTGGGCGGGGTTTTAACGTGGCGGGACCCAAACCCAGCGCACGCGAAGTTTTACGCCTTCTCACTTTAGCTCGCTCCCAAACGGGTGTTTGGTTGCTACCCAGAGGATACGTGGATATAAATATCCGGACGTTGTGAGCTGCGATTTGAACCGTACGCACAAGAATCGCTTCTGGCCACTCCCAGGTGAATGGCAGTCAAAAGTTTTCCACTTCTGCGCACGGAACCATCCCTACTGAACCAAATATTGTAAAAATGGCAAATTTTCTTAAAGCTATAAATATCTTTCAACTTCTTTAGTCTTATAATTTATAAATATTTACTATCATTTGACTAAGCCGAAAGCCCTGGCAGCTAGTGCAATTAACTTAGATTAATTTATAATTTTAATTATATTTTAATAAATTAATAATAATAATAATAATTTTTGGAAATTAATCGCTAAAGTTTATTCGGTTTATATACTATATGAAATGTGTGAGAGGGATTTCAATTACTATCCGGCTGTTTGCGAGGGTAGCGACCAAATAATTACAAAATGCTCGTTTGCCTATGAGGCAGCTTGATGTTAGCTACAAAGGAATTCACAATAGTTTTCAAGGTTTAAGGTAAGTAAATGTACAATAAAGTGATAATTATACATTTTAAGCGTTCAAAAGGTAAGTATTCAAAATTTTAGTAAAAGCTAACTATTTCATGGTATAAAGAAGGTAAATACAACATGTTTAAGGTTGATATTTGGTTTGAATGTAAAAATTAGAAAAAAGTTAAATTTAATAAATTTATAATTCTATTAAGTTTGGACTCATGTCCTCGACAATTGCGTGAAACGTTTAGGTCTGCGGGTTAACTGCATGCTGTCGCTTCTTAACGCGGTCCTTTGCAGAGTTGAAAAATCTTTTAATGATAGCTTCAGTGTTGTCCAGCTTAGCATTCCCAACTGCAGACACACAGGAATCTGTGAACAAAGTAATCTTATTTAGCTAAATACATGTTACGCTGTAGGGACGCTAAAATTACGCAAAAACAGGCCGAGACACGTAAACTTAATTTTTAACCGACTTCAAAAAAATGAGAAGGTTATCAATTCCTCGGAATATAGTTTATTTTTTTTGTTATATATGTATGCTACCGCATAACTATGTACCACGTTAACCGATTTAGATAATTCTTTTTTCATCGGAAAGGTGGTAACCTAGAGGTGGTCCCATACTAATTTTGTTTAGATCGCCTAATTGGATCATGAAGAAATAACCGGTACACCTAAATTTGTATATGAGAATTGAAGTCGGTTTTGTTTTTTGCTTAAAAATTACTTGCGGCTTGTACATTACGGATCTGTTACCATTTTTCTAGATTCCTACATATTTTAATTTTAAGTTTTAATTGTGAATGAAAAAATTAAAATTTAACAGGGAAAAAATTTAAAAATAAAAGTTTTTTTGTAAATCTTTTTTCATTTGTATTAAAGCCTGTTCTTTTATAAAAAACAAGCTGCTAAAGAAGTAAATTTATGGATAAATAAAAAAGTTGTGAATGATCAAATGAAAATACGCAATGATTTATTAGTACAAAATACGAGCAGGAAAGAATGTTACTCATACGCCACGTACATGGCTATACTCGTATATACTCGTACGTGGCGTATGAGCAACATTCTTTCCAACTTGTATTTTAGTTATACTAAAAATCATTGCGCATATCATTTGACCATTCACAACTTTTTTATATATCTTCGTAAGTAGCTTGATTTTATTGTAAAAATTACAAAAAAAACTTATATTTTTAAATTTTTTCCACGGCGTTTTTTGTGTCATTACAGAACATATCATTTTTCCTACAGTGTTACACATGATTTTCCTTAAATATCAGACCTTTTAAAACTTCAATAATCGTAAAGTCCTTAACGGACGTGTTGCCCTTCAAGTTTGTCCATGAGAACTGCGTAACTAGGCTGTCGTCTCCAAAGACAGCTTTTAAATTTCCGGATATGAACTTTGCCATATCTGTATTTGAATGGCACAGGAACTTGTCGAACTGTAAATAATTTAGATTGACTTATACTTACATACATTTAATTTTTAGCTATATGTATATGAACTTACTAGCTCCTTCCGCATGTCATCACTTGATTTCAAGCTCCGGTCAAAATCAAATATTGCATCCTTCGTGGTCAATGGTAGTTGTGGTAATAGCGTTGTTCTCTGTTTTTTATTTTCCTGCAGGGAAATTTCTACTTTGCGTCTTAGACCTACGAACTCTTCTGTCATGAAAGGCATAACACGCTGATTCTCCTCTCGCAGTCGGTTGTTTTCTTTTAATACTTCATCTAGCTTGTTATTAATTTCTGTAAAATTGAAGTGCTTATAAACATACACTATATACTGTGGTATTTTAGTTAATGATGTTATCTTACGGTGTATAAGAGTAACGGACTGTTCTCCTCGTTGAGTCCAACCGCTACTTTGAAGGTTGTAACGGGTGATTTTTTAAGAGCTTGATACCTTTTTTTTTAAAAAAAACGCATAAAATTTGCAAAATCTCATCGGTTCTTTATTTGAAACGTTAGATTGGTCCATGACATTTACTTTTTGAAGATAATTTCATTTAAATGTTGACCGCGGCTGCGTCTTAGGTGGTCCATTCGGAAAGTCCAATTTTGGGCAACTTTTTTCGAGCATTTCGGCCGGAATAGCCCGAATTTCTTCGGAAATGTTGTCTTCCAAAGCTGGAATAGTTGCTGGCTTATTTCTGTAGACTTTAGACTTGACGTAGCCCCACAAAAAAATAGTCTAAAGGCGTCAAATCGCATGATCTTGGTGGCCAACTTACCGGTCCATTTCTTGAGATGAATTGTTCTCCGAAGTTTTCCCTCAAAATGGCCATAGAATCGCGAGCTGTGTGGCATGTAGCGCCATCTTGTTGAAACCACATGTCAACCAAGTTCAGTTCTTCCATTTTTGGCAACAAAAAGTTTGTTAGCATCGAACGATAGCGATCGCCATTCACCGTAACGTTGCGTCCAACAGCATCTTTGAAAAAATACGGTCCAATGATTCCACCAGCGTACAAACCACACCAAACAGTGCATTTTTCGGGATGCATGGGCAGTTCTTGAACGGCTTCTGGTTGCTCTTCACTCCAAATGCGGCAATTTTGCTTATTTACGAAGCCATTCAACCAGAAATGAGCCTCATCGCTGAACAAAATTTGTCGATAAAAAAGCGCGAAACACATTTCGAACCGAACACTGATTTTGGTAATAAAATTCAATGATTTGCAAGCGTTGCTCGTTAGTAAGTCTATTCATGATGAAATGTCAAAGCATACTGAGCATCTTTCTCTTTGACACCATGTCTGAAATCCCACGTGATCTGTCAAATACTAATGCATGAAAATCCTAACCTCAAAAAAATCACCCGTTAGAAAGAAGACATATTTTCTACAGTGTTATCAATAAAAGAAATTTCTAAATATTTTTATTTTTATAATAAGCCAGATTCTTACCTGTTAATATATTATTACTAGTTTGCGACATCGTGCAGAAGTGGAAGAAAAAAGTGCTTGGAATCCAAGTATAAATGTATGACTTTTTTCTCGATCGTTTGTGCTACGAATTGTGTTTCTTCGGAGGAGAACTGCAAAGCATTGTTTGAAGAAAATGTGTTTAATATTATGTTAGATGGAGCACTTCTGTAGAAATTTTGTAGGTTTTCAACCCTTCTTCCAAAAAGGTTAATGATATCACCTCCTATAATTCTCGTTATTTTATATATATTACTTGCGAAGAAGCAATAATTATTTGGAGGCTTTATTGAGAACGTTAAATTAGGGGTCTGAAGTTCTTTATAAAAGTTTTCCTGTAATGGTTTTTTGCAAGTAAAAGTAGGTCTTGGTATGCAGGCATGTTTCATGGTGGTGCTTTGCTCTGTTATTCTGTTTGAAATTTGTGCTAAAATATGCGTTCCCTTTTTAACATTTCGTTTCAATTGGTATAAGTAATTTTCGTACTTGACTGCGCTAAAATCATCTAGTGCACCATATTTTAAGACGTCGTCACTTATGTGTATTAAATTATGGCAATTGAAGGTTAAATTTTCCTGCCCATAAATGTCTGCAAAAGTTTCAACAAATTTCTCCAAAAGAATTTTTGCTTCATTATTGTACTTTAAGCACAACGAAGGATCACATAAGATTCGCATTGCCTAATGCAGATTAATAAAATGCTCATATTGTCTCCAATTCAGTTTTTCGCGTAAAGTAATAAAACCGGTATAAAGGACAAATGATCGAAACTCTGTCGCTTTCCATCTATCAAACTCATCTAACACTCTTGGTTTCCTATTGAATTCCGATGGAAATTGAGGACTAAGCATTTTACTTTCTAGAGATAACTGTTCAATCTGAGCAGACCTCATTGAATAAGAGCAGCCTTTTTTCCTAACCCATAATTTCATTAGTTGTTTTGTGACACCAAGGCAAACCAAATGCATATAGTCTGCAGGAAACTGGCTTACACAACCGATATTGACTTTATCTAATGAAAGCTGATCCGTGTTTGTGTGATGTTCTGGATGCACTCGATTCCTGAAGGTTTCGTCAGTTCTAAGTTCGTAGGAATTATAGGGAAAGGTGATCTTTCGATTGTAATATTCGCCTTTTATTGTGCATTTATTACAACAATAAAATCCTGAGTGTGATTTTACGTTTAATAAAAACGATCGCGCCGGAGTATCGCATACGAAATGTCCAATCTTGATGGAATATGTTTTTAGATCCTATTGGAAACCAGTATCATTTAAGGTCATTAATTCTTCAACTAGGGGTTTGAGGAACTCATTCGAATTATCTGGTTTGGTTTTAATATTATCGATGCTGCCTCCAAATGAGTTTAAATAGCAGCCGACTAGCAAAACATTTGTAAACTGGGGAATATTCATTAGAATAGGCCCCACAGTCTGCTTAGAGCTTTTAAATAAAGGTAATCCGTCAATACCAAAATTGATTACAATGGTGCAGTCCTTAATATAATTATCTACACTACTTCCGTATTTAAAGAAGACATCAGTTAAACAGTTAACTAAACCATAGTGAATGTAAGATCCATTACTCATAGCAACGATTTCTGTATTTCGCGGTGTTTCTCTCAGGGTGCGGACATCGTGTGGTAAAGTTTTGTCAATTTCTCTCAATTTTTCCAAAAGCCTATTCATAGCTAGATTGGGTATAGACCACTCAATTGACCAAGCTGACAGAAATTCCCTTAGCCCTTTGTTTTTGTACATATTAGATTCGTTTATATCATCGTCGACTCCAATGTTTTCCAAGCTCTGTGAAAAATTATTCCTAAGCATATTATTTTCAATATTTATTTCGCTCTCGTTGTTGTAGCAAATATCTCTAGTGCCATATAAGGTAATAATGCGATCGCTCTCAACGTTTTCCACTAATCTTCTATCCTTTATCACTAAAAGTGAGCCCAAGATTTTTTTGGCCTCCCTTTTAACAGATTTTCTAAACGCTTGCCTTGACATCTTTTTAAAAACAAATTTCCAGAATTAGCAGCATTAATCGCAATATTAAACTTACCTTTTTGGCTTATTCTTATTTTTTTAAATTTCGGTTTTTATAAATAAACGCGTTTATAGCACAAAATCACAAAAAGATTTTTTTTTTTATTGGTGCGTCAGAATTTTTTTATATTTTCAATGTCGATTGTGACATTATTATAATTACATTATTGATTTTCTTCCGAAATTTCCTAAAAGAATCGAAGTGTGCACAATACATTTTATCTTAGAAAATTCGGCAAAAAATCGGAAAGAAAATAATGGAATCTTTACGATTTTCTTCCGCAATTTCGTAAAACAATCGAAGCGTGCATAGTTTATTTCATTTTAGAAAATTCGGCAAAAAATCGAATTAAATCTTAACGAATTCTTTAAAATTTCTGTACAATGCAGAATACTCTGAAAAAATGGTTTGCAGGGTATTTAATACATATGTATGTATGTATGTACATGCGTATAAAAATTAAATAATTCAAATTTTCAACAAAAAAAAAAGAAACATGAAAAAGTAAAAAATAAGTAAATACTTTCGTCAATTGTCGAATAATTTGACGGCAAATTGAACACAAAATGCTTGTGATACCATTTAGATAAGTACGCCTACTGTGCTCTGCAAAGCAATCTGTGCAAAGTTTAAAATGATTGGCCGAGTTTCTCCTCTGATTGGCGGGCAGTGTGTGCCTTGATATCACACAAACCACTCGACCACGGCTGATTTATGTTATTCTCCCCTTTCCGCATTCTTGTTGTTTGCGAAAATTTTCAATCGCCTTCTCAGTTAAAACAACCCGCTCGTCATCCACATCACCACAGTATTTCTGCGGCGTGGGTACACAAACAACCCCAACTCCGTACATTCATATAGAGCATTTAAATAACACTAGTTTACACGAAAAAAGTACCTCGTTAAAAAAGTGCTTTCTAGATTAACTTGGGGTCGCTGAAAACGAAAATGACACCCAATTATTTTTCTCAAGAAGCGTTTTTGCGATTTTTGCAAAAAAACCTGTTTTTCGTGTCTTATTCCAGTTTTTCAGAAAGGTACACACCTCTTCTACAACAATACGTCATTATTGGTAGTCTAGTGATTATTTCTTCCACAGTAGCCGTTCAAAGTAAAACAAATTGTCATTTTTTGAGCTTTTTTGGAAATGAATGAGGCTTATTGACTTTTTTTCATAAGATACAAATTTGTAATGCAGATTTATATGATAACAATTTGAAGACAGTTCTGTCACATACAATTTAAGTTAAATATTGCTTCGATCGAAAAAGAAATGTAGAAGTTATGACGCATAATGTAAATACAAGCCATTCGAGGTTTTTAACATTTTCACACTTCAGGTCGAAAATATGATTTTTCTGTCAAACTTCTTCATTTGTGTTCCATTCTGTCTTCTCGAAGTTGCATCCAACAATAGTCGCCCATCATGGCCTGATCCCAGAAACCTTCATACCGCTTTTCGATAGTTGCAATGTCCTGGTGAAATCTTTCTCCTTGTTCGTCGCTCTCAGCTCCCAAATGTGGTGGAAAAAGTCCAAATGACTATTGAGCAGGTGCATTTTCAGAGACATTCGACCACCTGTAATAAATAAAATATTTTGTAAATTATTAAATAGTTTTTTCTTAAAATAATTATTTTAACCCATGCAAGGTACAACCGTTGAAGATATTTAGGTATAAGTCACAAATAGAAAATTGCATGGATTTTCACAAACTTACATTTAACCTAAAAATACTTCACACTCACCAATGGCATTGAAATTTTCATCAAATTGTCAATCAATTTACGGTCGTTTTTGTTTCTGTGCGCTTACAAAACATGTGGCACATACAGAGTTTGGAGTCCAATGTTTATCCGGATTCTTGGCTTGAATTCCAAAATATTGTTCATAAGCAG